CCCTGTAGCCAGGCGGGCCGGGAGGAGGGAGAATTGGTCTTTGGTGAGGAAGTTCGGTTCATGGATAAGTCCCATGCCCTGCCAGCGCTAGCTAGGCTGACTGCAACCTGTTCCTCGCCGTGAGTGCTCGCCCGCTTGCTCGCCCGCCCGCTCTTGCTCGCGCTCCCGCCCTCTCCCCGGCGCAGCCGCGGATCGCTGTTGCATGCTGATCCTGGGAGGCGGTGGCGGCGAGTGCTCTGGGCGGATGCTGGCACTTGGGCTTTGCTGCTCTCTGCTCAACTTCTACCCCAAACGCAGGAGCTGTGAAGTCATTTGCCCCTCTCCGGTTGGATCGACTTCTTATCTTCATTTCTCGGGCGTTGCGGTTTACGCAGGAACATCAGTACCGCTCTCCCCCCTCCATCCCCCTCTCTCCAACCTTTGGATGCGGCTCTGCTGGCAGATTTAAAGAGCCAAGTCTTTGGCTGTGGAATTTCTTAGATGGACTCGCAGGGGCTGGCGTTCTAAAGCATGTCACCGTAGCTGGCCCTCGTCTTTTTTCTTCTCGTTTTTTTTTTCAAAGTTCTTTTGTTTTCATTTCCTTCTTCCTCTCTACCCCTCACCCCTGCCAATAAATCAGCAAACTATTGAGGGCCGGCCAGTGCCTGCCTTTCTCTGAACCTGGTGGTGCCGTGTGCCAGAAGAGGAGCTATGTCTGAGGAGCTGCCTACTCCACCCCTCTCCGGTCCCTGAACATCACCACCCCACGCTGGCATTTTGGGGAAAATATTGCCTCTAGAAGCTGAACACCCCCAAGCCCTACCCCCTTCTTTTCCTTTTTTTTCTTGGAGAAATGGAGCTTCGCAAAGGTTGCCTTTAGATTCAACAGTTCAGAGCAGGGTGGAAGAGCTTGCAGGGGTCCCCAGAGGTGGTGGTCCCCGCGCCTGTGAGGATAAAGCTCTGAGTCTGGCTGTGTCTTTTTTGCCTCTTGTTGTGTGCGGGTGTTCGGCGATCACCTTTGTGTGTCTTCTATCTGTTTAAACTTCAGGATGGCTCGCTTCGGGGAGGCGGTGGTCGTTGGCAGGCCGGGCTCAGGCGATGGAGACTCGGACCAGAGCAGGAACCGGCAAGGAACCCCTGTACCGGCCTCGGGGCCGGCAGCTGCCTACAAGCAGTCGAAAGCGCAGAGGGCGCGGACTATGGCTTTGTACAACCCCATTCCTGTCCGGCAGAACTGTTTCACGGTCAACAGATCCTTGTTCATCTTCGGAGAAGATAACATTGTCAGGAAATACGCCAAGAAGCTCATCGATTGGCCATATCCTTTCTTGCCCACCATGGCTTCCCTCTCCCCCTTTGCATTCCATCGGGTGAGGGGGGAACCTAGCATGGAATTTATTGCCCACCCCTCCTGGTGCCCAAATTTGCCCCTGTGCTGAAGTGCACCCTGCCTCGTTGCATCCAAGGGGCAAGCCTGGTACCCTCGAGACCTGTTTGGGCACTAGTGTTTTGCAAGGTAAGACTTTTGGCTTTTGATTTATTTTCCGCGTGGAAATCTCTAGCGTACCTAGGTGGCTGGTGTTGAGGTGTCTGCCCCTTTCTGGGTTGGGCTTTGTCTGTTTCTTGCCACCCCCAAAGCCCCAGTCATTTCAGATACTGCACTCCATGCCGACTGGCTTGCCTCTAATCTCAGGGCTTTCTTTCATAATCATTTCCCTCTTCTCCTCCACTTCAGCCCGTCCCTCAGCCCCCATTCCTACCAGCTGGGAAGACACTGGCACTATCTGCCAGCAGAGAAGTTCAAGGCTCTGGGAGGGCATTTAGCAGCCTAGAGACTCCAAAGAACATGAGCCAAACACATGGATGCAAGTAGACAAATGAACACTTATAAAACAGGCTTTGGGCTGGGGACTCAGCTAACTCTAGAGACTAAGTTTAAGTTCAACCAAAAGTGAGTGGCTGTCAGGGGAGGTGATCATGTCATCATAGCCCATCGCAGCTCACAGTTGGAGTTCTCCCCTGGGGCAAGGAGGTGTGTTCCCCTTTCCTGGGTTGCTGCTCTAGCTTCTTAGTGTTTGACATACCTGGTTGCTCTTCCAGTCCCCTGAACCAGTCAGATCTACTGGGCCCGAATTCATCAGCTGAGGGTCAGAGGTGTGCAAACAATCTGCTTCTAAAGCCAAGGGTATTGTTCCTCACAAAGAGCGGCTAGGTCATCTCTGGTGGTGGTGGATTCAGGGTGAAAGACCACAGAAGGAGCTTCTATACAGCTTTTACCAAGTGCACTACATACAGGATGTTGATTAGGCCCCTTACTGCCTGCTCTGCTCTAAGAATTTGCATGCCTGACAAAGCCATTAGGAGTTGAGGGTGGTAGGGAGTTTCAGGGGATTGTAGAAGGCAAGCCAGTGGTTAGGGTTAAATGTTGGGGTTGACTTGGGGACAGGGACTTTGATGCTCATGAAGGTACAATTCTTGGGAAGAATGCACCTGCAAAAGAGGCTCCTCCTCTTTCCCCCATGCTCCCATCTCCTCCTCCCCAACAGCTCCTTTCAGGTGGGCATCAGTGAGACAGCAGAAGAAAGATGTGAGGGGCTCTCAAGTATTAGTCTGCAAGGAAACTTGCATCCCCCAGGGCCTGGACATATCCCTGACCACCCCCTCTAGTTTTTGGCCTTCTTCTTTTCCTCCCCAGTTTCCTGCTTCAGCAGCTTCTGGATTGGCTGGTGCATGGTGCTTCTAGGCAGCACCTCATTAGAAATGAAGGAGCATCTCTAAGCAGCGATGCTTCCTGCTGCTGTTCACATCCTCCCACAGTCAGCCCCTGGCTGGGTTTCTCCCTCTCTCCTCCTAGTTCTCCAGTTCTCACCTCCCCCTTCCACCCCCACACAATGATCTGGGCCATAGAGTGCTTGGGCTGAACTATCTAGATGGGGGCTTGGGCAGGGGAGGGGTCTGGTCCCTGCAGTCATGCCTGACAGTGAGCTGCACAAAGCGGACAGATTTCATTGTGTGGCACGCTGCGGCTGCAAATTAACTCCACTGAGCAGGACTCTACTGATCTCCCAGTGAAAGTCCCCTTTCCTTGCCCACCTTCTACAGTTCTTTTAGATTTCCCATCCACTGGGTGCGGCTTTGCTGTGACCCTCTTAGGACGCCCCCTCCAGCCCACCCTCCCGCCTCCGTTTGCTTGCAGCAAATGAAGCCTTCTCTGACCCTTGCATGGGAAGTGTGGCAGCAGCCATCCGTGGCACCTTGGACAGCTCCACCAAAACTCCCTTGCGGATCCAGGCTTCCCTAATCACCAGGTGCTGCATCGGGTACTTCCGGCTTGGCTCAAGCTCTGGGACATGAAATCACGTTTCCTATACCATGCCTTTGCCTCTTTGCCACGTTTTCTCTTCTGCTGCAAAGACACAGATTTTCCACCAGGTGCTGTAAGAGCAAGGGGCTGCTGAGTTTTATGTCTCCCCTTTCTTTCTTTTTGGCCAAAATGAACTAAGCAGAGTCAAAAGAAAGACTTCGGAGGGAATGGTTTCCACCCTCGTGCTCAGTGCCATGGCCATATGTCCTGTCCAGGACATCTTTGCTATCCTCATATTTAGACATTTTACAGTGGTTCTACAGTCTTCAGGCTGTTGTAATCTGTTCATAGAACATCTGCTAAGATGTTGAGGGGAACCTAGTTGGATTTTTCCCCCTTCTGGTTGTACAGTGTAACTGACTAATGTGTTCCCTCCCTCCGCTGGTGACCACGTGGAAGGATTGTGTCTCTGTAGGCTCTGCATTTTCTCCCAAGCTGCGTCTAAGCTAGTCTCACCTTTCCTTCAGTTCTCAACACCCAGTTTCTTCAAATATCTGCTTCATCTTGTTGAGAATCAGTGTGATGAGCAGTGACTCTTAAAACTCTCTAATTAGGCTGCCTGGGTTCAAATCCCAGCTCCCTCCAGAAGCCCCGTGACCTTGAAAAGTTACTTCATTACTTATGTCTCGATTTCCTTACCTGTAAAATCTGGGTGAGAAAAGAGTTACTGGGAGAATTGAAGGAGTTAATGTGCCAAGTGCCCCTAGAACATTACTTAATCACTCATTAAGCATCTATTATTATTAATGGAATCCTTTGGGAATTTCTGCACACCTGCAAGGTGAGACTCTTAGTTCGAGGTAAAGTCATGTAGATTCTTGCATCTCTTTGAGATAGAGGAGCCTCATTTGTATCACCTGAGAGCTTGTCCAAAATCCAGACTCCTGGGTCCCACTTCACAGCTGCTAAATCAGATCCCCACATGATTAGTGTGTCAGTAATTGACTGTGTTCCTGGTTGTGGTAGTGACCAACTTAAGTACTTTGTTCTTTGTAGGGGCCTGTAAAACAACAGGAAAGTTGTTTAGAAGCATTTTAAGACCTGCTTTGGAACTGACATGCAGTCACACACTTGTGGGTATTGATTACTATGCACTACACATTGTGGGCTTTATACTTTCTTTTTCTTTTTCCTTCCTTTTTCTTTTTTTTTTTGGTGACAGAAAGTCACTGAGGAACTAAGATATTAAGGTGCTTTTCTCACGTGTCAGACGTTTTAATTTTATTGATCTGAAAGGGTAAGCTAAGTAAAAGGCATGATTTAGCTTGTGCTTGTAGGACCCACTGACTTAGGAGGGTCTTCTCGTGCTCTTAATAGGGGTTGCCTCGTTCTAATTGGAAGAAAAATGTCTACAATAACCCAGATTTGGCATGGAAGATGGTAGGAAGGCAACAGCCCACTCTGAATGCATTTCCTTTTTCTTAGAAGCTACATCTGCATAGGGAGATAATTTTATTTTCTCATGACACTCTCTTCTGCAGATGATAACATAGCCTTTTTGAAAATGCTAATCTGATTTAAAATGTGATATCACATTTTATGGCATTCCTTTCTTTCTTGCTTGCTCATCTAGTAGATCTAACAAGAGGGTTCTTTCTTCCCAGGCATTGGCTAGTCTGAAAGCTACTCACTAGTCTCTGTGCTGCACACTGCCATTCTGACTGTTTTTGCTCAGGGACAGATGCCCTGTGGGTAGACTCTTGGGATCTCTCACGTAGTTTGTGAGACAGCCCACCCTCATTTTCACTTTTCCAGGTCAGAGGTGAAGGGAAGAAATGACATGTCTGACTTGGAGGCTCTAATCATAGATGGGCAGTAGGAGATTTTTCCTCCTTCACCTATTTGGTCATCTCACCAGGAAGCACATGTTTTATGTGGAAATTAACATAATTCAGAGTAGGAAGATCAAATATGTTTGCAGCCTTTGAGCTGATGAAGCTCATTATAATGAACCTGTGGCTGCAAAAGCATGATTTCTTGTGGATCTCCTTAGAGCATTTTAGAAACTGGTCTGAGGCTATGTGTGTATATCACAGATTACCCCCCCCCCCAAGTAAATTGTTCAGCGAAATTGTAAATTTATCTGGAGGATTTTCTTGAGGATTATGGAAAGTGTCAAATCTCTCGTTTTGGCATATACTCTTCTTTTCTTGTTGCCTCTAAATATACGTGTCTTGCAAGATAGTAAACTACAGGCCTGATAAGAAATTCAGGTTTGATGTAACTCCAGTGAATCATGAGTCTTGACATGAGACAGATCGGGGATTAACGAGGATGAGATCTGTAATTGAATCCAGTGGTCGGTTGATACAAAGCCCTCATATTTTCCACTGACTTTCCATTGCATTGATTCTGTGGCTGTAGTTGGCACAAGGGATAAATGATCGAGATCTTTGATTTCTGGGTTTCCTAGAATAGTCTCTCTATTGCCTATTGGTTTTATCTTTTATCTTTATATGAGGTGTTTCTGTGAATGGAAACTCTAAGAATCAGGTAGTTGCTCAATCCCACAAGGCTGGGTGTCTCAACTGGTCTTTTGCTTATGCTGGAATCTCAAAGAAGTAGTTTGCAATGCCAGTGAAGGAATGGATGTCTGACAAGGCAAAGGCAGGCAGGTGAAGATCAAAGCAAACCTCCCTTCATCCATTGTTTTTATATAGGCTTTCAGCAAGGTGTCTTCCAGATTAAAGGTGTGCCTTCCCATCCCAAGATCCGGATCAAAAGCGTGTTTTCTTCCTGTCTCAAGATCCAAATCACAAGTGTTCCCTCCATTTCTGGATTACAGTTCATTCTAGATATAGTCAAGTTGACAACCAAGAATAGTGAGGGTTATGAGTCTTCTAGAAGCCTGGCCAAAATAATAGTAAGGATTCTTTGTAACTGGGATACAGCCTGGAAAGTGAGTTGGAATGAAAGAATTTGACAGGAAAGAAATTTGCCTTGAGGATGAGAGCAAAAATATCTTGGGTGTGATAGTTTCGTCTATTGACTTGCATGCTGTTATTCCTCCTCCCCCACTTTGCTGCCATTGCCTCCCTTTCAATAGGTGTAGCACACAGTATGAGTGAAAGGAAGAGGAGGAAAATAATGAGCGCAGACCTTTCTTTCAACCAAAAGATCTAGACTGGATTTAGCGGCTCCACTGAACACTGTTTATCGCTTTTCAGCTTGTACTGTACAAGATACAGGTGACCCCTCCCCACTTCTTTCTTCTCTTTTCATAGGAACATCTGGTTTCTTCCAGACTTTGTGCTCTTGCTTAAAACAAAAATGAGTCAAGACTGGCTAAGCTGTCAGAGTTCTTGCAAACCCATTGATTCTACCTGTTGAATGAGCAGATTGTTGTCCTTCCTAGTCCCTTGCTTAGGGCCACCAAGGAAGCTGCCCTCACAGGACACCATCTCCCACCTACAGTCCAGTCCTGCAGAGGACAGACTGCCGGTCTGTTTACCACTGACCACAAAGACATGAAAGGGTGGGCCTAATGCAATATAGTCAATACTGTTTACTCAGGGAGCCAGAGGGCAGGTCCTCACTTTCTCTTTTGGCTAAGCCTTCTACCTATCGTTTTATCTGTAGCTCTCCCTCTCTCATTTTTAGGTCCAATCTTTGTGAATAATTCACTGCCGATGTGGGTTTTTCCTAGAATTTTCAAAAAAGCGAGGTTATTTACCTCTGCTTAGATAGGACAATGGTCTTTTGCAAAGGGACAGTATCAGAAATCAGCATTTTCTCTCAAGTCTTCTGTTGTCTATGGTAAAACGGAGATACAGAGAAAGGCAGCTTGGAGGAAAACCTTTAAACATGTTATTTCTTGCCATTTTTTATAATAACTGTCTGCAGCCTGATGCATTTGAGTATCTGACAAATAAATAGTTGATTGCCTTTTACTTATGGACCATAATTAAGGTATTTATGTCCCTAAGTATTTGTCACCCAGACTCTACATGTTAATTTGCCATTTTCATATTGACAAATGTTGAACCCCTGTTCTAAGAAGCAGGTTTCTAATAAACATTTTAAGTTCCAGTAAGAATTCAGGTTGGAATTGGGGTGTGGTGTTGTAGAGGGTCCCCCACTACTGCTGCCACCACCACCGTCACCATCGTGTCCCACGGCTCTTAAATCAGTCCCTTAAAAAAAAAAGGTCCAGAGATATGAGAGCTATACATCATTTCCCTTATCATAGTCTTAGCCTACACAGAGAGGACTTGTGTGGGCTTTCCCATGATGTCTCCAGCATCAGTCTTAAGGACAGAAAGTACAACGCAAAGTTTGTAGGCTCCTCTGATCTAGTGTTGTCTTGTGTGTACAGCCTGTTTCAAGGAAATGTCTGTGATGTGTCGATATTCGAGGAGTATTCTAAATGTTTTGCCCATAAACTCTGACGATTCTCATATCCCTGTCTCTGGAAAGCAAAAGAGTCACTGGAATGTATGTCCTTAAGGGAGGGAAGACGAGCTACATCAAAGGAAACAGTAACAATGACTTGAAAGTCATTTATGTGAGCTATCCTCCTAATAGAGCAGTGACTACTTCCTGGGGGTTGTTCCTCCACCCCACAATGTCAGAGACTGAACCCCAGGCTTGGGAATGTAGCACCCAGGTGCCAGTCTCAGGGTCGTGAGATCCAATCCTATTGTGTAGGGCTTTGGAGAGAGGACCTGTGCTGTACCTGCACCACGTGTGGTCTTTTGGTCCATGAGAATTGAGCTCATCACTGCCAACAGCTGTGTCATCTCGGGGCTTTACTTTTTCAGCGGCATTGGTCCTGCTGTTTTTGTTGTATCTGCATGGCATCGCTGAAGAATCTGGAAACTGTGTTCGAGGCTTTTCCTTCTGCCCTTCTGAGAGGCTCAAAAATATGAGATGTAGCTGCACAGTAGGTACTGCTTAGTGGAAAAAGAAGTGTTCTGGGTAGCATCATGAATGGATCTTTCTGGGGATGAGACTGTGGTGTCATTGTCAAGGCACATGGTGGTGTGAGTGACCTTCTGGACCAGAAAGGAAGCTCTGCAAACGTGGGGGAGGAGAAACATGAATCCTTCACGGTCCCTCTCAGCCTTTTAGGTTCTCTGTGAGTTGAAAGTTTTTAAACTGTGTCACTCTTCTCAATTTTCACACCATTGTCTCATGGGGCTGGTCGGAGTAAAAAAGCATGAAATGAATTTTCAACAGTTACTAACATCTTGGCAATTTCCAGCTGTGTGCTGGTGGGAACTAGTTTGCTACTATTCTGTCAACTGCCATTTCTTACAGCAGGTGATTTCCAACAGCATCAGGGCTAATTCCTCATTTGGGTCTTTTGTGTTGGAGTCAGATGTATGTGCTCTGCTCATTTCATCAAGGCATCAGCTCCCAGCCTCTACTTTGTCTCAGAATTACCTGGGCGGCTTGTTAGAATGCAGTTCTTAGAGTTCCTGACTCAATTAAGTCGGAAATGGGGGGTGTCTGAGATTCTTATTTGTCCCAAGTAACACACGCTCTTGCCACTGCTGGCCTTAGAAGCTACGTCAAGAGGTGCTGCTCCATACGGTGGGTGCCATGTCATAACATTAGAGACACCTTCATAAGAATTGCTAATTGGCCTAGTGGGCACACCTTTAATCCCAGCCCCGGTGAGGCACAAGCAGGTGGATCTCTGAGTTCCAGGCCAGCCTGATCTATGGGGCCAGTTCCAAGCCAGGTTGGGCTACACAGGAAATTGTGTCTTTTTAAAAAATAATTTATTTAACTAATTTTATTTGCATTGGTGTGAAGATGTCAAATTCTCTGGAACTGGAGTTACAGACAGTTGTGAGCTGCCATGTGGGTACTGGGAACTGAACCCATGTCCTCTGGAAGAGCAGACAGTGCTCTTAACCACTGGGCCATCTCTCGAACCTAGAAACTGTGTCTTGAAAAACCAAGAAAATAAATTACTAGAGAGATTCCTCAACTCAAATCTCTGCTGTTAAGAGAAACTTACTCTTTGGGCTCAGACGTTGGGGCTTCCAGATCATCCTAGCAAAGTGATGATGAGATCTTAAGCATGGGAATATAGACTCTCAATTTTATGACATTATTAACTTTGAGTTAGTTCATTTTATTCTTTTTGGCCCTATGACTGAGAACAGACTCTTAAGGGAATGGGCACATCCATTTTAATTCTAGCACCTGGTACAAGGCTAGCACATGGGAAGTGGCACAAATTCTTCTATTGAATGATTTGTAATTAAATATGTTGCTATTGATTTAACAAGCCTCAACAAAGTGATTATGCTGTCTCTAGTATTACTCTGACTCGGATCTCTAGGACCCGTGTGCTCTGAAGGTAGTGTGAGAGTACTAACTGCTGGGAGAAAGTCAGGGGGCATTACATGGAAATTGGGAAGTTATAAAAGACAAGTATTACTTCACAGTTTTCTTCAGAATTACACCCAATTTCTGTGTTACCCTCTGCAGGTTTCCCCACTGCTAAAGAAAATGTAGTGTTTATTATTTAAAAATTTTCTATGAAAAAAAATTAATTGGCACCCAGAGATCTATAATGTAATGACAATTAAGATTTCTAATGATGGTCCCTAGGCACACAGAATGCTGGAGTGATTTCTGAATATTGTCAATCAAGTGTTTATTGAATTATGTTCAAACAGTCTGAATGGAGTATGAACCATATTTTGAGCTTTCACAAGTTATAATCCATATCCACACATAAAATAGTTATCTGTTGCAACTCATTAATTTTTAAAAATTCATCAGTTTGTTAAATATCCCATGTTTTCTTTCCCGGCTCTGCTGAGTGGCAGAGAATTTGTTGTATTGTATCTCGAAGTCAGCCCGTTCATCCCTTTCACATAGAATTGGAGTAATCTTGGTGTAATTGGCCTGCATTATCATGTCATCAGGTGATGGATGGGTCTAAGAATTGCTGATGGTATGCCTTATTGTGTGCTTATTTCTGTGAAACAATATTGAAAACAGCCATCTACGGTGTCTAATAGAGGTTTTTATTAGGCATCTTTGCAAGGCCTGTCCAGTGATGTCTTCTGCAACAGGACTCTGAGTATCTGCCTGTTGTGCCCTGAGCCCCTCTCTGTGGTCTTTCACATGCTCACCTGCCATCTTCTCAACCACAGTCAAGGGATGCTGGACTCTAAATATGCAGGATGACGGTCTTTTTGCTTTCTTAAGGGTCAGCTCTAAGTTTTGTGGAACTTCAGAGTTGGAAATGACTTTGAGTGACTGTCTAGATGACCCCTAAGTGACTGTCTAGAGTACTGGGACTACTAGATCTCTCGACTACCCTGTTTTTTATGGGGCTCCCATTCTTTTAAAAGAATACACATATAATTTTGCACTTAGTATCAGAGTTCCACAAGTCAATTTTAAAATAGCTATTGTGTTAGAATAGTCTCACATGTTTGGGTGCTGGGATATTGAGCTCTCAGGAATAATTGTCCCTAACTACATACCACAAACCTCAAATCTCATGTGATAGAAACCCTGTGTGGAAGGGCTCCAGGGAAGTGTTTGCCCAAGACAGACAGCCAGACTGCCACGAGATCACAGAAACATTCTATCCAGACCAGAAATCTTTGGGAGCCCTTCTCAATCTTCAGACAGGCAACCATCTTGAATTAATGACAAAATTCTCCCTGTTAATTAAAACACTTAAGACTGAGAAATTAAAATACTCCTCGGGAGCTTCCATGTGTTCTGTGCATCCTTTTGGTTTCTGTTGTATAAGGAAATGCTGATCCAGTCCACTTCTTTACTTAACATCCCCGTGGCACTGTGCACCACTGTAGACTAGAACTTAATGTGATGGCAGTTATATTTTGATTTGTATTATCCAACAGGGGCACTCTGTGTGCTCTTAAATTTTATCTGATTTTAGTTAATTTGGATTTAAATATCTACACGTGGCTAGCGGTAGAAAGCAGTTTCCTCTGGGGCCTGACATTTATTAACTTTGGAATTGGTTTTTTTGGCTTGGTGTGCAGGGTGTCTCAGGACCCACTGCAACCTCCACAACCTCCATCTCCACCGTTTTCAGCCAGCCCACTGACAGCAAAGGTGATGACTGTCTTTTACTGGGCTTACACTTTTACAAGGTCCTTACACTTGCTCCTCCCTCTGGCTCTAGCATTGTCCCCAGTGGCCATGTCCTCTTTGAGATTTGGGATGCTGGTTTGTTTTGGATACTTGTATCTCCTTTTTTGTTTCTGGCATTGCTATCCATCCTGTAGGGATCCTTTTTAAGTGGAGGAGAAAGCTAATATCCATCTGCGGCCACCGAACCCCAGTTTTTCTACATTTAAACAAATCAACAGCCACAAGACAAGTGTTATTATGTACACCTTACCCATGGGGAATCTGAGGCTAAAGAAGGTTAAACTATTTTCCAAGGCCATCTCCAGTGAACTTGAACGCAGGTGATGGGACTCCAGCATTTCATTGCTCCGGTTTTAGCCACACATTCAATGTCTCTGGACAGGGCTGTTTAATAAATGAGACCTCCATCGGCTATGTGTCACCTGTAGATATGATAAGCAAGTGTTCTAAGAGTTGGATCAAATAATTAATAAAAGTGTGGTTAGAACTGGGGACACCCTTTTGCTTATCTTCACTGTGATAGTGTGTCCTCATTTTTTTCAAATCTTTTGACCTGTCCTTGAGCCAACTGACATGTCTCTGTTTTGTCTTTAAAAGTGCTGTGGAAATATCCCTGTCACATGCTTCAGTGGAATCAGTACACACTTCCATGACTATTTTATGTCTATTTTAAGCGAAGGCGCAGCACCTTGCCTTTTCCAAATTCTACTTTAGGTAGTGTTTTCAGAGTCTCAGACGATATTTTTTTACTTGGTCGGCAAAAACATCAGTGTCTTTGCCATCTTCTAGTCTATAAAGCCCAGCGGATGAATGTGTCGCATTAGAGTTCAGGATCCACCTGTCTCTTGTTCAAAGCATGAGGGTGCATCATTGCTAAGAGCATGGCTTCTGAATTCAAATCTCAGTTCCACCTCGGCTGCCTCCTAGCCCTATGCCATGTTAACCTTCTTCACTTTCTCTGTCTCAGAACCTCCAGACATAAAGTGGAAATGGTGATTTTTACCTTTCTATTGTGCTGAATTTTTGTCCTGTTTAGGTTAGACAATGCATATAAAATCTACAGTATAGTGGCTGGCCCAAAATAAGCTGTGAATGATGCTTAGGTATTAGCATCTAGTTAATTATGGATGATTCAGCTGTAAATATCTGAAAACAAGTTTTCTCTTTCTAACAGTATTGTCTTGCGTCCTCTTGACTTCTGGGAAATTTCTAATTATTTCACAGCTATTGTTCATGTGACCTTTGTGTAGGCCTCTTTGGTGACCTGAGCCTCAGGGTTTCACACCTCATCTATGAGGTGAAGCTCATTTCCACTGCCAGGATAACCTTGTAGGACTAATTTAGGTCCAGCCTCAGCTACTGTGGATCCAAGTCCCCTGCAAACATGTCAGGATTAGCACAAGTGTTGATGATGATACCAGTTCATGAGTGCCTAACATTTGTTAAGCACTCAGAGTATCGCACTGAGTGCTTTGAATGCAAAACACCCATGGAGATCATTCCTTGTGACCACATCATAGAGATGCAGCTTTTGCTTTCTGCATTCCACAGCCAGGGGAGTGAGGCATGGAGAGGGCAACTCATTTGCTGAATAGGACACACTGAGTGGGAACTAGAGGCCTGACTAGAGTTAGTGTTTTCTAACTGTGGCATCTAGATAGTTTTACATGAAACCTTCCTTCTTTACAATTGTTGAGTTTACATTTTAAAATGTTTAAAGCATTTACATTAAAACTGGTCTTCTTTTGTGTTTTTCAATGCTGATTTTACATCCAAATTTTCCCTTGGGAGACATTCAGATTTATGATTCAGGGGGAAACATCTTGAGCAATAACGGAGCTGAACTTTTCTAGCAAACTTCTAATGAAAGCTGATTAGGTGTTCAAAGTCAATAACAGCCTTAACCAAACAAACTGGAGTTTGTTTTCATTTATATAAAACTGGTAGTCAGATAGTTCAGATGGTTCAATTAGAGGCATATGGAAGGATCCCTGTGAGAGACAGTCCTAGCTTGGCCGCTTGGCCCATTCTTAGGGGTTACCAGCTTTCCAGGGAACTCTTTCTTGTCATTGGGTTTCTCAGGTTTACAAGGTCTCTGTGTTCTATCAGCAAAGAGAGTCAGGATGAGTTTCTGTGAACTGAGGATAAAGCTTCCAAAAAGGCTGGAGTGCTGTGTGTGTGTGTGTGAAACTCTGGGTCTTTGGAAGTGTGCCCAATAAGCTGCGAGGACATCTGCCCTGTAACCCTGCAGGGTATTCTACCTGCAGGAACCAGATGCTGGTGTGCATGAGTGTAGAGGGTTAGGGTTGATCACTTAGCTCCTGGAAACCAGGCTGAAGCCTTTGAAGCAGTTAGGGAGTAGGCAGAAAAAAGTTAAAGAAACTGTCTCTAACTTTGGATTGTATTTGCATGGAAATTAGTGTTTGTGAAATAACTGAGCCATATGGATGCACTGAGATGCATGTGTTCTGGTCTGTTGATAGAGGAGCAGTTGAAGGGCGTGGGCTTATCTGGAGGCGGAGTGAATGGGTGGATGTGGCAACACAGGGAGGGGCAGGTTTGGGGAATATGGGCCTATGTAAATTCAGAGGATCTGGGCATTTGGGCAAGGAGACATTCCCTTATAGAAAGTTCTGTGTTCAATGACTTACTTCTGAGATCATGCACCTCTTGAATTCTGTGAATAAGGATGACACATCTCTGGACAATCTCTATCTCTCTGGTGACAGAGGATAGAAAATGACACCCTGGAATGTATAGGCTGTGGACTTATCTTCATTACAAACATCAGGGAACACACTCAAGATAACAAAGCAAAGGAACAGATTTTAGGATGTTAGAGTTACCTAGAAGCTTCACACACCTCTGTTGGGAAGGAGCTTTGTTGACAATCATGTTCTCAGTAAGGTAGGCCACTTCTCTTTTTCCTTTTATCTTCCTTTATTTCTACCATAGAATTTTATCAGCATTCTCTAGAGACTCTTCCAGGCTATAAGCTCTCAGGAACAGACAGAGAAAACTAACCTTTAAGGGATGCTTATCATCTGACAATCACTCTACAGTGTGTTTTTGAGACCTATTTATTTGCCGGGTTACAGACAGCCATGGTTTTACCAGCTCTGCTTACTAGCCATTCTTCTTTCCCTGTACCACACTGTCTTGGGCTAGATGGAAGACTAAAAGGTGAATCTTCTCTATTGGAGTATCTTCTTGAGATAGCACTGGGAAGTGCTTGTGTGTGTGTATGTGGTACCCGTTGGGCATGAGGCTAAACCCATGGCAGAGAGAAGAACCACTAACTGAGAGGGAGAAGAGCAAAGCTCTTGTAGGCACAGGTCAAGACCTGGGACATTTTGGCCTGTGTTATTCACTGGGATGCAAGTTTGGACTGGAATCTGGGATCTGTATTGTCGTCCTCTCCAGATCCCTTCTGCCACAAAGCCTTCACTGCTCTGCAGAAAAGCTTCAGTTTGAGAGAGAGCGATTTTCATTTCAGTATCGGCATGTGTTAGTCTGTGGCCTTTCCTTTTCGTCACCCTGAAAGCCCCCCTCAGTCCTCTCTGCTCCAGCTCCACCATACCCAAGTGCCATCCAACTGTGGAGGCGGCAGTTTTGATGACGTACCCTTGAACTTTCACTTAACGAATGCTTCTGCTTTTGAAGTTTTTTGTTTTGTTTTGTTGTTTTGAACTGGGGCTGGGGTGGTTGGGAGGCTGCAAAGGAGACTCGTCCTGGAAGACTGAGGGAAAGGCTTGTAGAGGGTTCCAGAAAGTGGTCTTAATATTCACACCTCGACCATTACTGTGAGAGTTCAGACTTCTCCTAGTAGGAAGTTTCTGGTCAACTCTGCTGGTCATGGATTTCCTCTTCTTGAAAATGTAGATTTCTATAGATGTCTTATACTTTAAAGGTGCCCTCTTGTGCCAGGATTTCCAATTTGAATGTTATCATTGGAATTTTCTCATTTGTAGCTTCACCTAAAGCAACTTCTGTCCTTTGTGAAAATGGATGGTCACTTTTTTCCTCCCCCACTTCCCTTCCCAGCAAGTTGTTCCATTAACATCACAGAATAACAGAGAATTGGAGTCAGGAGATCCTAGGAGAAACTGATTAGACCCTTACTAATGGGTAGGAAAACTGAAAGCCAAAGGCATCAAGGGACTTACCACGAATCAGTAAGTGACCGAGTGTCAAGTAGAACCCAGGGCTCTTTTGATTCCATTTTCTCTTCTCTTTCATTTGTGTTCTTTCTCTGCTCCATCATCTCCTCTCTGACCCCTTTATCTTCTGAGGCTTCCTTATCCTTCTGTTAGTAAGTGTGAGGTTTGGGTGCTTTGGGATGATATAGAAGAGTAGATATAATGACCAAGATTAATAAAAGAATACTTAAATCATAAAATGTAGGAATGGACAAGAGAAGACTAATTCATGATGAGGTCACTTGGTGCCAGTACTGTGATGATGGGAAAAGGGATTCGAGACAATGGCTAATGCACTCTTTTCCACCAAAAATGTTGCTGGAGAGTCATATGTAAGATAAAACAATAGGATAGGACTCAGCAGGCACGGCTTCTACTGAATGTAAAAGCCAACACTAAGTTACAGCAGGTGGGGGTCGGGGTGGGTGCTCAGGGAGGCAGTCATCTCAGAATATTTCCTGGCTCCTCAGAGGCCCAAGGGAAGGTAAATTCTCCAGTCCCTGCTTTAAGAGATGTGTTCTTTAATGACGGTTGGGTAGTCCTGTGAAAAACATAAGCAAAAATCCAAGATGTCTGCCTGCCTGCCTATCTGTCTGCCACCGTCCTTCCCTCCCTCCCTCCCTCCTTCCCTCCCTTTCTCCTCCCTCCCTCCCTTTCTTTTTTCTTCTTTTCTGGATATGACATTCAAGCTGGGAAGCTAAGGTAGTTTTGTATTTGATTGTTCTAATGAAATCCCCTGAAGACTTTTCAGGGCACAAGGCTGACAATCCACAAAGGTTCTAGAACAGTCTTGTTATTCCAGTCTTTGTATCTGTGCTCATAGATGAATGTGCTGGAATAGTTAGAACTCCATGGTTCCTTTCAGCTGTCCCTCTTTGCTTTTGGGGTCTTAGTTTCTGTACTTGTCAGTGGATCTGGTTTGAGGATGCCACTGGCTGTCATGGCCTCTAGCATTGAAACCATGGACATTCCCCTTGTTTACACAGTAGAATCGGTCTGAGAATGTCTAGAAGTGTTGATGCTTCAACAGTAGCCAAGACATATTAGAATTTCTGGAGGTAGGATTCTGTATCTTTAGCTTTTAAAAGTTTTTCTAGTGGTTCTATAGTTCAGTTGAGGCAGTGATCCACTTGTCTTCTAGACTGAGAGATGGGCCTCTTACCTGATCCATTTAGCCATCTCCCTCTCTCCTTCATCCCTTCCTCCCTCCCTTCCTCTCTCCCACCCTATTTTGTGAGCTATGTCTTTGCTCTGTAGTTCAAGCTGACCTGAAACTCAAGATCCTCTAGCCTCAGCCTTGAGGAATGTGGTTCCAGTTGTACTATTAGGCTAAGTTGTTCCTGTTTCCCTGTGTGTATAGATTCTTCTCACTTACCTTGCAGGCTGTTGTGAAAGAGCTGGAGCACCCCGGGAACTCTGGAATTCAGCCTAAAATAATAATCAGTTTTAAGGGGCATTGTGCTGGCAAAAGCATTTGCTTATGGCTTCTTCAGGCAGACCTCCTGTTTCTCTAGACTTCCCAGGTCTAGAAATCTGAAGCTGAGGAACAGAGCCGTGCTCACCAGCAGGCCCTCGAGTTCCTGACTGAAAACTTCTTAACCTTGAATCCCCCTAGATTAAATAACCTCTATTTGTATGAAGCACAATGCCCATCAAATGTAGGAATCCCTGAATATTTTTGAAAATCTCCCAGAAACATGGAGCTTACAGTAAGTCATATGCTGGCTTCTCTGTGCTCTTGAGTATCTTTTTTGTGTGTCTGTTTTACAATCTCTGCTGTAAATTGGTAGCTCATAATTGGTCACAAGGAGAATATTTAGCCTAGCATTTACAAATGCCATGCATGAGGACTTTCTCCTGATGGTGTTTATTAGCATAGCATTTCATTTATCTCTTAACAAAATGATCCATTTTCTTATGGACACTAGGAGGCCTTTACATTGTTTCAGATCTGAACGGCTGTCTTCTTCTCTGGAATAACTTAAAAGTCATGAGTCCTCTATTCCAAGGTGACCTTTGGATTCTTGAAAGCAGTTATATTGCCTCCCAAGCCTTCCCTTTGCACGCAGAGCATTAGTTCCTTCAGTCCTTTCTAATCTGGTTTCCAGGCTGAATGGTATCTTTGCACATGGATACAGTCACATAGTTTTCAAAGAAAACAAAAATTCTCCTAGAAATAATATATGGTCTTTTTAGCAAAAAGGTCTACATTTTTTTGATATGTCCCCAGCACCATTTGATACCTGTCCTGTGATGGAGCGATGCTATAAAGTAGGGTATAGCTTTGGGTGTAGCTCATGGTCTTTTTTTCCCCTAAAGCACAACTTGCTGCTAGCACTCTTGATGGACGTAAATTTGTCAGAGTGTCATCAAAACACTGTTTCTGGTTTCTGAGATAGGTAATTTCCTCACTGTTGTTGTTTTCTACAAGAAGCTTTTAGTGTGCATCTTTTTTTTTTTTTTTTTTTTGGTTTTTCGAGACAGGGTTTCTCTGTGGCTTTGGAGGCTGTCCTGGAACTCACTTTGTAGACCAGGCTGGCCTCGAACTCACAGAGATCCTCCTGCCTCTGCCTCCCGAGTGCTGGGATTAAAGGTGTGCGCCACCAACGCCCGGCTTTAGTGTGCATCTTATCATTCAGTCATTTGTCTCTTGATCACCAAAAACTGTGTGTGGAATGACAAATGTTTTAAGTCCAAGGTCCATGCAGACACATAACAAGTGAATTTGTTAAGATTCCTCCAGGTGACTGTCACCGAAATGGGCATGAGTGGCAGGAGTGGGGAGGCTGATTTATTCTTCAGAACTACACCCTTCCCACTCCCTGACAGTCACATGGCACAAATGGGTCTAGAACTGACTTCCACTTATCATCTGTCCCTTTGTCTCCTCAAAGAGGTAAAGACGCGACCTTTCTTTCATTAGACTTATGTAGGGGACAGGGTCTTGAGAGTCAGACAGAGAGTCCTCTGATTTGGAAGCCATGAGGGATAAGACATGGCTTCACAGCTAACAATGGGAGAGTAGTGATAAGGATCATTCATCTTGAACAACACTCCACTGACCTCCAAAGTAATGCAACTAGATTGCTTCCGTGGGCAGCGAGCCCTCCAAGGGCTCTTCTGTATCGCATCCTCAGTGTTGCCTTCCTTGTCGTTCATTCATTAGGCTTGTGGTCTTTAGGGTCAGGTGTAATGGCATTTCCATCTCGTGACAGGGGAGAGAGGTGACATGAGTGCTCAGGGTTGCCTGTCAGATGGTGGATTGGAAAAGAAGCAGTTGTCATGGTGATGGCAGGTTGCATCCCACCACCATGGAAACCAAACTTAAAAACCGGCTGTTAAGGCTGGAAGTCACATGATGCATTTTGTTTTGCTTTTTAGTTTTTGTTTTTGTTTTTAAGAAAAGGGGTTTGATTTTTTTTTCCATTTGATTTTTTTTTTAAAGCCAAGATTGGGAGGTGAGAAAACTCATGCTGAGGAAAGCAATGAAGTCATGAAATGGGACAGCGCAGGGAACTCAGGGACGTTCTTCTCATATTTCTACTTGTTTACAGTCCAGTTTTTCCACCATGGGGGAGGGCAAGGGGGAAATGCTGTGGAGTTTCATATTTTCTGTCAGAGTTGTGCGCTGGAAACTCATATAGAGAAGCACTGTGTTAGCTCTCCAGTCCTGTGAGGGACCATGTGGTGCAATCCGAATTGATCTGCTCAGGACAGAGACGTAATCCAAAAGCAAGGCTTGAGGAAGATCGTGGAAATGGAACTGAGCATGTGGCTTATTTCAGATAGGAGGGTGGTCCATACGCTAGTACATTGCACTATTTGATGATGTTTGGAGTTTTGGGTTGGTGGCGATTATCCCCTTGCTTGGTTAATTCATTCCAGAATAAATTATACTTAGGTTGTAGGCTTGCAACATTCCAACCTCCCCACAGTCACTGGAGTTCTAATTAGTTAATTAACTATGCAACAGGCTCAGTGCAATGCACGGTTTCTGTCCAGGAAACTTTTGTTCACACTGTTCCATCTGCCAGGCTGGGCAGAGGAATGAGGGCTCAGAAGTCCAGATGGAGTCTCTGGTCTTAGACTTTTGCACCAGGGTTGACCTTTTACCTCAGGCCTTCTCACCTCAGTGCCAGGGGCAGCTTGCTGGAGACATTAGAAAGCCCTGTTGATGTCTCCCATTTTTACCACCCCCCTGCACTGTGATGGGTAGGGAGAAGGTGGTGAGATGTCTCCCCAGAAAGGCAGCTGGCCCCAGGCCTGCTCTCACAGGTATGAATGTCCCTTTCAGACTAAAGGGCTGAAAGCTTGCCCTCATGGCATATGCAGACAGGTTAGACAGTAGAGAGCCCAATAGGGACTTCCGTCTGGGGAAGGGTGAGGGTGATGGTAACAGGTGAAAACACACTGTTGACGTGATGACCACAGTGATGGCTTCAGTGATGGCTGTGTCTGTGGTTTGGGCACAGGTCCAGCCTCCTCACTATTACTCATCCCTGCAGGACAGATGTGTCTTCCTCTGTGGCCTCAGGCAAAGTGGATGTGATCTCACTTGCATGATCTCATTGTGTCTCCAGCAGGGTCCATAGGAGCCGGAGCTGGACTTCTGTGGTAGTTCAACCCCTCCTGGTCTTAGCTCTAGCCTTGGGTGTGATTAATGCCCCTTCTAATCACTGGAAGAGATTGCATCAGAGCCATCAGCTTCATAAATTCTCCTCTGGGGACTGCTGTTTGGAAGAGCTCTTCATAATCCCAGGAGGTCCTGGGCCAAATGTCTTTGCTTTCTTCCCGGAGGCCCATTACCATAATTTTCTTTTAAATTCTTTACTGGGGTAGATGTCTTCGGTGTCACATCATAGCTACAGCCCTCCAGCTCCCTTCTGGAGGCTGTGACCACAAACAGATGCTTTCCCCAAAGCCTTGAGCCACAGAGGACACTTAAGGATAGATTTAGTAGGGCAATAAAAGTGTCTGGGATTTGCTTAGGGGCTTCATGTTCCTGTGTCATCTTAGGTGCTGGCCCTTTTTTGTCTTCTAGTTTCTTTTATGTAAATGGATGGTGGTGACCTTTTCTCCTTTGAGCACTGTGTTGGGGCAACTTTTGGAGTGAGAGCCCTGATTCTTGTTTCTCATTGCCAAGTTTCATTTTCTCTGCTGCTCTCTGGGTCCAAGGCAAGATCCTAATTATTTTCAGCCATATAGAAACCTTGAAGAGCTATAGCTTGCGACTTATTATTTGTTTACAGTATCTCTTCAGGATGGAGTGTCTGACAGAGTCACAGGACAGACAGGCTCTTTACCAGCTACTGCCTTTGAGTTAGTAGTCACGTATTATTACATTATGTCTAGCTGACGAGGAACGGACATATGCAAAGACATGGAAACCATTGTCAGAGACTTACATCTCTTCACATCACACATCCCTAAACAAGGAGGCTGAAGGGAAAATAGGACTCAGATCTTTTTATGGGCAGTTGTCCTGGGTCTGAGGCTAGTAGTAGGGATGGCTAATGGAGTTTGAGATCTATCTCCTGGGAGGCAGGGAGCAATTGCAGAGGGTCTCCAGAGCTCTGGCAAATGCCAGAGTGGGCACATTCTTGTCCCCATAGACTATTTTCTCCATTAGGCCTAGAACTTGAAAAGAACATAGTGTTCTGTCAACCTGCCTGTCTCTGGTGGCCCTCGGATCATATTCGCTTACCTTATGCATGGTGACAAAGGCTCTGGGAGGGGAGAGCTGAGAGCAGAGGGGTCTCAGAACACCTGGCCATCATAGGAGGGCATAGATCCCCAAGACCCCCTACATTTGTGCCTGCAGCCTTTCCCAGGTCCATACCTGCAGATGTGTCTCTGAGATGTTGGCTTGGGTCAGGGTAGCTTTGCTTGCAGAGCAGTGCAAGGCACGAGCTCCAACCGGGTTCCTGGGGCTCTGTTGGTAAGCAAAGCCAGCACCATAGCAGCACTAGGCCCACCCTCTGCCTTGCCCCAGCTTTCTCTACTAAAGAAGGAACTAAACAAATGGCAGGTGTGCAGGCCGAGCCATGCTGCTCAAATTAGCTGTGTTGCTAAGGAAACCAGTCAACTGGTTGAAGGAAGGAGCATTGGGTAAAAGGGATAAATCAATAAGGGAACCTATTTTTATCATTTCCCTAATGATTGTCTTGAAGCCGCTAGACAGGGAAGGGGAAGAGAGAGCTGCAGCGACACCAGTCCTCATTAACGGCTTGGAGGGAGCGAGGAGTGAAGGGGTGTTTGGGAAGACTGCCAGGAAAGTTTATGAAGTGAGGCCCCTAGCGAGCAGACAGTGAGCCTTCTTTGCAGGCTCAGAGCTCTTTTGTGGTCATTTCCTTCTTTGAGGGGCAGCTTCTTTGCAGGCTTGGAGCTCTTTTGTGGTCATTTCCTTCTTTGGCTTGGTCTGGGCCTTTGTTCTCCCGCATTTGATCTTCAGGGATCTTGCACAGCCTTCCAGGTTCCCCATCTTTATACTCAGGTCGACGTGCACTTTGGTATTGGTTGGATTTTCCTTCCCCAGAACACACGTAGCTTTAACTGATTTTTATGATTATAAGTTAATACATGCTCATTATAACAGTCAGACAATGGATAAAGGAGTAAAGAAAAAATGAAAACAACCCTATTACGCAAAGAAAACTCATTATCCTCCTAGCAAAGCAGGACCCTCCCTACCTCCACCTTCTCTCTCTCTCTCTCTCTCTCTCTCTCTCTCTCTCTCTCTCTCTCTCTCTCTCTCTCGTTTTTGACATTAAAGAGAATGTCTGTGTGTGTTGGTTCCCTTTCTTCTTCTTTTTTGATAGATAATGTATGCCCACAGTGTACAGTACAAAAGTTCAGATGGGAATACTGTGTGGAGAGAATATGGGACATCTTTTTATAATGATACTTCAGGCTCTGGTGTCCCCATCCTATCCATGTATTGATGAGCCACTTACTAATTAAATATAAATCATTACACACCCACTGTTTCCAAACAGAGTGTTGGTCACCAGGGACAGGCATGTGTGGGGCAGGCAAAGCCTCTGCCCTCAGCCTTCCAAGTCTTTCTGCTTCATTGGCTCCTTTTGTTCCGGGTCTTAGAATATGGTGTAGACTCTGTGATGGACATTCTCCAAGGTATGCTTCAAGCCAAGCCTGGAACATGATGGGGGTCAGTGAATTCCTAGGGAGAATGAGGATTCTGCACAGATAGACTTCCACGCCATCGCTGACTGTGACTGCCACGAAGGGTGCTGTTCTTTGCAGCCATGGTGACATGTGGCTCCCTTTGATCTTTCCAAGTCACATCTTTTGCCTTGACAAATTGAAGATGTGGGCTGTTATCTGCGGTCCAGGGCCTTCTGGAGATGGACCTTTGCTATTGGGCTTGAAGTTTGCTAGCAAGAGGAAGGAGTCACCTTGCCCAGGTGGGAGTGTATAAGGTTCTGTACTGAGCAGAGGGAGGGGGAGCTGCTTTCTAGGTGGAGAACCTGCTTGCATTTCCTCCTTCACTGAACATTGATTAAGCTCCTACTATGTAACAGAATCTCTGCTAAGCACAGCCTATGGAGAGTTAAACGACCTACTTTTGAGGAATCATTTCTTGGAGGAGATAAATAGATGTTACCCCCCCAACAAAAAAGCAATGCAAAGAAAAACGAAGCATAAGGAAAGAGAAACCAGAGAAAGTTTCAACTTATAACCAGAAAAGAGAAAAAGACCACTGCTAGTAATGGCAGACATCAGTGAACGTCAGTGTCTGTTCTTTATATTTTCTTCAAATATAGAAAAGAAGCTAGAGAGAAGGGTTGTGACTCTGCCCCACCTCTGTAATTTCCCTGCTTGCTTCCCCCACATTTTCTGGTCCCTAGCCTTTCTCTCACTTCACCCCCAGAAGCTCCATACTTTTGCCTCCCCTCACCCATATCACAGTCTTATATTCTTTATTCCTCCAGCTCAGTTCCCCATGAGGTCTAAGTCTGGAAGACCTAGAGAGGCAACCCTCCACAGGCTGTATGCATTTGAACAGTTTAGAACAATATAATCCAAACCAGTTGCACACAGCTGCTCTGAAATGGGTCTTTGGACACTCGACAGTAGGCAGACGATTTGGCTGGGGGAGGTAGTGGATCTATGATTGTTTTTTAAGCTTTCTTCATTTTCCCCAGAACCAAAAAAAATTCTGGATAGTTTTATGTTAGTATGATACAAGCTAAAGTCAACAAAGTGGTGGAAGCCTCAAAAAACAAAAACAAAAAAAACCCAAAAACCAAAAATGCCTCCTCCATAAGATCAGGCAGTAGGTTAGCCTGTGATTGATGGGGGAGGACCCAGCCCATTGTGGGTGGTGCAATACCTGGGCTGGTGATTCTGGGTCTATAAGAAAGCAGGCCGAGTAAGCCAAGAGAAGCAAGCCAGTAAGCTGTGTCTGTCCATGGCTTCTACATCCGTTCCTGCCTCCAGGTTCCTGTCCTGTGTGAGTTCCTTTCCGATTCCTTTCTATAATGGACTAACGATGTGGAAGTGTAAGCTGAAAAAAACCCTTTCCTCCCCCACTTGCTTTTGCCCATGGTGTTTTGTCACAGCAACAGAAACCCCAACTAAGAAATCACCTTTTGATTCTAGAATCAGCGACCCGGATAGCACCAGACTTTGAGTCCACATGACTTCTTAGCCGTCCAGAGACTAAACCAGTCACAGACCATTTTACTTACCAGCCTCTGAGGTCAAGAGCCATTCCTCTGTTATGTAGTTATGTAGTGAGGTGTTCTCTTGGTCAGTCTTGTGTCCCTAACAAGCCTCAAATATCTGAACTGCTCAGTGAAGCTTACAGACCTTAGCAAGGAGTTGCCGATGGAGACTGCCTGCCTGAGGAGATGCAGGTGTGGAAGTGAGATTAGCGGGGCCAGAATTCTAAAGGGTGTTGTGGGGAGAATGTCTTGGGAAAAGTGGGACTGCTGAGCTGTCTATCAGTATTGCTTGAGAGCGTCCATACTTTCTGTCCTTGGTTTTCCTCCCCAGCCTTCCAGTGCAAGAATACACAACCCCTCCCTGTCCCAAACAACCACAGACCCAGTGGATCTACAAGAGGCAGAGATTTATATATCTTGAATGAGAAATCCATCTTTCCCAGGGAGGTCTTGGGTCTATGGAGTTGCTGATTAGGTTTCAGAGTGGCACAAGGCACTTCTAACCATGGACAATAGCCAGGTGAGCCCAGTGCTTTTGTGAACAACTTTATTAATAGTATTGGCGTGAGTGTGTGTGTGTGTGTGTGTGTGTGTGTGTGTTTACATGGAAGAGGCAATGCATGTGTCACTCAACTCAGAGATTCCAGCCCCTCCTCAGCTTGTGGTGATCAGTAAAACCTGTTTTGTTGTTTGTCTGTTTGTTTTGGTTGTGAGCCTAACCTTTAACAGCTGAGCCATCCCTCCAGTTCTTGATTTTTTTTTTAAAATCAGGGCTCCTAACAGTGTTCCTGTGAGTGCCGTTCCCCAGAGATGCTCTGAACAAAGGATTGCATGGTGAAGCAAGTTTGGAGTGTGCTGTGTCCTGCTCCCCACCCCACTGTGTGCAGTCTCACACTGTGTACAGTAGCATTAAAGGCTGCAAGCAGTCCTGCTGGGACGGAACACACTTCACTTTACTTAACCCAGGCTTCCCTCATTTATTTGATTGCAAGTTTCTGTAGCACTAGTATTTTGTGACCTACATTGTAGAAACAGCACCCCAGATGCCCTCAGCTTCTGTAGCCATTCATCAGTGCTGTGTTGGCACGCTGTCAGTTTCCTTTCTGGATCAACTTCCCAGGCAAGGTCAGAAATTCCTCCACCACCACTTTTGCCGTATTCTCACTGTCGTCAGATTGGTTTTGGAATTCCAGGCATCAGCACTAGGCCCAGGATAGCTTGGCCTGCTCCGGCACCTTGTGGGATATTGACCCTGGGTTAGTCCTTTGTCACTGTCCATGTAGAGCATTAGGTTACAGCCAGCGACATGACAGAAGTGTGCTCCCTTGTGATCCTTGTGCTTTGGATGGCCTTGTCGGGGTTTGTGTTAGGTGGGGACTTGTCCCAAGACAGTGGGTGTGCATGCTAGTGTGCCAGGAGCATGTTTGGCTCTCAGAGGTTGCCCTTAGCCTCCAGAGTTCAAAGCAGAAAGGATGTCTGGTAGTACTGATGGGCTTCCATGCAGTAGCTCCCCTCCAGCAGTGAGGGTTTCAGGAAACATAGTAGAATCTGGGATGGGAGTCCATCCAATGAGACACATCCATTTCCAGATCAGGTGGCTGAGCGTGGGGAAGCAGAGGATCTTTGGGTTGGGTGGTGCTATGTGAGAACTGGAGATGAGTGGGAAGGAAGGGCTGCCAGCTGTGGGAGAATGCCTGTGACTCAGGGATACATGGAAATGCGGGGCGAGATGGTACTACCAAATGTGGTAGAAAATTCACCTTCCCTCTAGGCTCCTAGGCTAGCCTCAAAACCAGGGCATACGTGGCCTCTGCCTGCCAAATGCTCTGGTGTCTGCCCCCTCTCCAGATATTACTGGATGCTCATTTGATAGAATGGGAAGAGAGGCATGTGGGGGTCGCTTCTCTTTATGCCATCTTCTGTACTAGGAAGAGGTGTTTAGGCCCTATGTCCTACATGGTTAGGCCCGCTCTGTGGGGTGGCAGGGGAATGATCTCTGTCCTCCCCTCTTTGTCAGATGAACTATCCTTCTCCCGGACCTGAGCTGTGGAATTTGCCAGAGAATGGGTTGAACTCCAAGGCTAGTGACACATCTGGCTCATGTTTGTCATAACAGTAATTACAGAATGAAATCCCAGTGCACAGGATGACTGGGCCCTGGGAGGGAGCGGATTTTTCCTTTTTTAAGCCATAGTTCCACATCCCCTCCTAGGAGCTTGCGGCAAAGCCTTTCTTCAGGAGTCAGAGTGCTTGCTTTGAGTCATGTTTTTCAAAGAGGCTCAGAGAACACCTTATCTGTCTATAGAAAAACATCAGGGGAAAGCTCGTGTATTTACTCAATAGAGTCACAGTTTGGCTCTTAGAGGCTGAACTCTACCATGGTAGATTCCAACACATGCTATGCCCCTCTGATCTCTATAAATGCAGAAGCTTAGGAGAAAACAAGGGGAGATCAAGTGCTTCTTCTGGCCTCAGGATATGCTTTCTGTGT